AGGCCCCACGAGTTCCGGCTGTTAGACTTAAGGAAATGCTCCTCATTTAGTCCTTCTTTGTGTTTGAAAATGATTTTGTTTCTGCTTCTTCCTTTACACACACACACACACACACACACACACACACACACACGTGTGTGCATGCTTCCCACTCTATCCCCAGCCTTAAAGTGATATCCTTGAAAACATAAATACATTTTTTTAAATAGACTATCCAAAGTAATGTTTAGTTTCTGGAGCTTAACAGGGATGGCCCCAAACTGTAGCTGAGGCCTCATTAGCAAACCACAATACTTCACAGATGAGACTCTTCTTATGGGGCTAATTCACTTTTTTTAAGAGGGTATATGGATTTAAGAGAATCTAGGAGGATCCATTTATCTTCTTTAAAAGACTTAAAAAGTTAACTAAGCTTCAATGCTGTTAACAGGAAGGAAAAATACAGTCAGTGGGTCAAAAAGCAGCCCCTTCCAGCTGCAGCAAACTCCATTTAACACTCTGAGATTGCACGTCACATCTGATTATTTAGACTGTCTTTAAAAAGTCCCATTTTCAAACATGACACCTGACCTAGGCACCTGACGCCATCTTTATCTGCCAAGGGATTGCAGAGTAAATCTGGCGATTGTGGTGCTCACAGGAGATGCTACGTGAAACCTGGGCCCTCCAGATGAGAGACTTAGAAATCAAAAAGCCATCATAATTCAAAAAAGAAAACAAAATGCTAAGAGAACTCAGAGAAGGTTTCTGGAACATTGAAAAAGAGTCTGGTGATTAAGATAGCAATACTTTATGACATTCATGGAGTTTCAGCAGGAAAAGCAAAAAAAGTTTTTTTTTTCTCCTAAAACTAGCCATGCACGAGGTGAGAACTTTGCTAGGCATTACCTTATCTATAGGATAATTTAGCCACCAGATTAGCCTCTGTCCTTACAATGTTATGAACTTGAACATATAAAAAATTTACAAATACAACAATATAGAAAGCTTCAATAATCTATCCATAGTTTCCTTAATCTGTAGACACTAAAAATCCATGATCCTCTACCTACTTTCCCAAGCACAGAAGCAGCATCTGAATTACTTAAATGTAATATGTATTCATTTTTCCCTCAGGCTCAACTTCTCCGTATTTATGTGGGCTATGTTCCAGTGTATCTTTGTACACATATATACACACCCATGCACATACATATCCACATCTATGCTACTATATAGACACACGCATGCATATGTGTATATACGTCTGTTTATACACTTGTCTTTTCCTAAATGAAATACAAATACACCTAGAATTTTCATTCTACATAACGATCAGGGGACAATCCAAGGACTGATGGAGGTATCCACAATACCCTAAATGAGGCAGAACTCTATTTTAAATCCTATCATTTGCCTCCCCACAGAATAGACAACAAACACAAAATCAACAATAAAACCATCCCCCGTGTCCAAACTGCTCAACAAGGAGCATCGTCATTCTAAGCCCGGGTGGTTCCTTTCTGTTTTTCTTTCCTTCATTCCATTAAACCTTACCCTTAAAATAATAGAATATTTACTCACTTTCAATGAATCAAAGCAGGCGATTACTCGTCCGTTTTCAACTTGGCAGCTTTTCGATGGATGTGCAAATTTACATTCCGTGTCTGCTCGTGAGCAAGTGCCCCTTTGGAACTCTCTACACACTTCCAGTGTGAGCCATTTGGTGTCCCGAATTGGCGTGACACTAACAGCCATGTTTAGATTTTACAGGTAGTTAATTTTTTTTCAGTGAAACAAACAAACAAAACCGAGCCCTCCCCCCCAAAAAAGCCAAACTGTTAAGACTGTAAATGATGAAAATGTCACCTCTTCAAATGCTCTGTCCCCAAATCCCTGCTCTTTAAAGGTACATGGAAAATCGTGTTGTCAATATCAAGGAAAAGAGATCCCACTAGAAATTCACAGCATGAAACTGTTCATCGAAAGAGGTTTGGGACTTAAGAGAAATGCTAGGATCACAAGTGTATCAGTGTTTAAAAGGAGGGCCGGGAACTAGCCTTGTGCTCTCAATAACCCATTCTCAGTGCCAATTTGGAGCCCAAAACACAAGCATGAAAACGTGGCAGACCCTTCGACACAGAATTTCCAAGCTGCTTTCAGCAAATTGTCTGAAAGGGAATCTCCTCACAGCTGAATTTGCAATTGGGTTCTGTGGTGCAATTGGTATTGATTAGTTTGGCATAGACAGATGCAGCAGCTTTAGAGCAACAATCAGGAAATGATTTTTGTTTGTTTGGTTTGTTTTCCTCCTTGATTTTTCTGGCAGAAGATATCTTACTTTTTTTTCAGCAAACTTTTCTCAATCTCTCTCTCTCTCTCTCTCTCTCTCTCTCT